CCCCAAAACCCCAAAACCCCAAAACCCCAAAACCCCTCAAGGTCGAATTGAGTTTGTGGATGGATTAATTTGAATTACAAAAATAAACAGGCAGACAGATGAGTGAATAAAATAATTTATAAAATTAATGAAAGTAATCAACAACCGATTCCTCCAGCAAACTTTTCCACTCGAAAATGTCAGATTCGCCTTTACTCTTAGACATGTAGACCGATATAAGAACTATTATTCAGTATGATATGATAGGTTATAAATCTGTGTATTAGAATAAATTCAAGAATCCTTATGAAGAAGATCTAGTCCTTTCAGTTGATGATGTCAAGAAATTCCATTAAGAGAACTTTCTCAAGAATAAGTAGCATTATCCAGCTACTTCTAAGCTCTTTAAAGCCAAACTTGCGACTTTCTTTTAATACTATGGAGCTAAAGTCCATTTCAACTATATTCCAAGCGTAAATGAAGATGTAAGACTTAAATACTATTTGGAATCTTTTATTGATCAATATTGAGAGTTTAGACAGGAGTAAAGAACTATATCAGATACTTAATCATTGAGCACTCAGATTTAGTGAGAGATCTAAACTATTGGGAGACATTTTCAGTTAGTAATCTCATGCATAGACCAGTAAGTTATAACTATTATGGAATGCAAAAGCCAAACAAGAATGATTGATAACTTAAATATTGTAGATTGAAGTTGTGCACAATGAAGAATGGTTTCTCAGGAATGATGAGATCCAGCATGCTTTCCTTTAAAACAGGATTAGTGCTTGCAGTCTAGCTTTGCTGAATGCCAAATACCCAGCCTATCCTGAAAAGGTGCTTTACTCCAATATACTAAATCTGACTAAGTATCGGAGTAAAGGACTGAAGCTCATTGACTACGAGGACACTGATCTTGTGGTGGATAAATAATTTGATGAATTCACTAAGATTTACCGTCCAATTCTTCAGAATCATGAACCATTTGGTAATAGAGTGCAAATGATCGAAAACAACTTCGATCCCAGCCAATTAATCATTAACACTGTAATTACTCAAATCAATAATTGATTTGTTGCCTGTAGAACAATGATAAGCAAAGTCAGATCAAATATCTCATGAATGTGAACGATAATGTCTTTAAGAATATAGCTTCTATTAGTGTCAGATCATATGATGCTAAGATGAAATGTAAGCATAGCAACAAATTTGCAGTTCAAATGCTAATTAAATCTTGATGTTTTTAGTTACCAAGAAGCAATTTTCAGAGCAAGATAAATTTGAAGAAGCAGAGGAAATTTTGAACGATTACCCTACAAAGAAGAAACTTGATACAGCCTTATCTAGAAGCATTGACAAAATAATGATTGCTAATAGGAATACCAAACTGTTCTTCATTTTAATGAGTGGTCCATTCTTCGCTGGAATGATGTTGTTCAAGTATGCTTGCAAACTTCTAATCTTCTACTTCCTACTTAAGTAAATAATTTGTATTAATGTTAATTTAGAAAGGGAAAAGGAGCAGCAAAGAATGAGGAGCCTGCTCCAGTCATTGCAGTAGTTTGAAAAGTGTTAATATCAAAGCTAGAATACCTATAACTTGTTATATTTATCGTAATATATTGGCCAGCTTAAATATATTTTGCCTGATGGGGTTTTGGGGTTTTGGGGTTTTGGGGTTTTGGGG